GACCTGTTCTGTACTTTTTTTTTTTTTTTTTTTTGGATGGAGTCTTGTTCTGTCGCGAAGAGGCTAGAGTGCAGTGGCGTGATCTCGGGCTCACTGCAACCTCCACCTCTGGGTTCAAGTGGATTTCTCCTGCTCGTCGCCTCCTGAGTAGCTAGGATTATAAGGAGCCTGCACCACACCCAGCTAATTTTTTATATTTTTAGTGATACAGGGTTTCACCATGTTGACCAGGCTCGTCTTGACTCCTGGGATCTGCAGGTGATCAACCCGCTTCGGGTCGCTCCAAAGTGCTGGGAATTTACAGGGTGTGTAGCCAGCCACGCCTGGCCCATTAATGTTATTCATAGCTATTCATTTTCTAGTCCAAGTACTTGCAATTATAGTTTATTAATTACTTGGTTCATGTGTCCCTTTAGTTTGTTTTTTGTTTTTGTCTTTTTTGGCGAACAGCTTCTTCCTTTTTTGTTTTACGCTTCATGAAGTTGAACATTTTTAGATTACCGAATGTTATTTTGTGGACGTTTCCATATTCACTTTGGGTTTTTCCCTGATATGTTCTTTCTTTTAGGTTGTAGGTTGTACATTTTGGCAAGATACGCATCACAGTGTATGTTTTGTGTCTTTCTGTGGGTCAGTAGTGTGCTGGTTTCTTAATGGTAAGGGTTCTTGATGTGTTGTTTCTTCAGTATAAAGTTACTATTTTCTTGGCCACATGCAGTGTTCATGCCTTTATCCAGCCTTTGGGGGCCAAGATGGGAGGATTGCTTAGGAGGGCATGATGGTTGGTCAGCATGGGCACAAAGGGGAGGCTTTCTCTTCAAAAAAAAAAAAAACTTCCGCCTTTAATTTTGGATTGTCCTTGTAACTATGTTGTTGAGGGGTCTTTGAAGGCTATATGTGTATTATATTTCTGGCGTCCTCATCAACCTCTTTCGTAGTTTTGCAGTCATTGTGCATTGCGGTGAATGAAGTTACAAATCAGGTGTTGTTTTCCGCGGGCAAATTGCTCTGTCTCCAAAAAAAAAAAAAAGAAAGAAAGAAAATGAAATTAAGGGAGCAATTCCATTTACAATAGCATCAAGACATTAAATACTTGGGAATATAACTTAACAAAGTATAAGGACTTTGTATTAGTTCTCGCATTGTTATAAAGAACTACTAGAGACTGAGTAATTTATAAAGAAAAGAGATTTATGTGACTCAGTTTCACAGGCTGTACAGGAAGCATAGCTGAGGAAGTCTCAGGAATCTTAATCATGGCAGAAGGCAAAGGGGAAGCCGCCACATCTTATATAGCTGGAGAAGGAGGAAGAGAGTGAAGGGGGAGGTGCTACAAACTTTAAAACAACCAGGTCTTATGAGAATTCACTCAGTATTACAAGAACAGCAAGGGGGAAGTCCACCCCCATGATCCAGTCACCTCCCACCAGGCTCTTCCTCTAACATTGAGGATTATAATTTGGACATGAGATTTGGGCAGGGACACAAATCCAAATCATATAAACTTATATAGTGAAAATTTCAAAACATTACTGTTTTTCTCTAGTTTTTTTTTTTTAATTAAAAATCTAAATTAACAGATTGCATTCATGAATTGGAAGACTTAATAGTGTTAAGATGGCAGTGCTCTCCAAATTGATCAATAGATTCAATGCAATCTGTATCAAAATCCCAGCTGTACTTTTTTGCAAAAATGAACAAGCTGAACCTAAAATTCATATGGAAATGCAAAATAGTCAAAACAATCTTAAAAAAGAAGAACAAAGTTGGAAGACTCATACCTTTTTTATTTTGGAACTTGCCAAAAAACTATAGTAATCAGGATAGTGTGGTACTGACATATAGGGGTAGACATATAGATCAATGGAATAGAATTGAGAGTCCAGAAATAAACCTATATATTTATGGTCAATTTTTGATGAGGATGCCAAGATAATTCAATGGGGAAAGATTTATCTTTTCAGAAAATTTCCAGGAACAACTAGACATATATATGCAAAAGAATGAAGTTGGACTCTTAACTCATACTGTACACAAATATGAACTCACAATGAATGAAAGACCTAAATGAGCCAAAACTGTAAAACTCATATAATAGCATACTAAGGAATTTTTTTTTTTTTTTTTTGAGAAGGAGTTTCACTCTTGTTGCCCAGGCTGGAGTACAATGGCGCAATCTTGACTCACCACAACCTCCGCCTCCCAGGTTCAAGCAATTCTCCTGCCTCAGCCTCTCAAGTAGCTGGGATTACAGGCATGTGCCAATATGCCCTGCTAATTTTGTATTTTTAGTAGAGACGGGGTTTCTCCATGTTGGCCAGGCTGGTCTCAAACTCCCGATCTCAGGTGATCCGCCCACCCCGGCCTCCCAAAGTGCTGGGATTACAGGCATGAGCCCCTGCGCCCAGCCTCATACTAAGAAATTTGAACATTATTATATGTGCAATGGGAAGAGGTAGGTTTGTGAGAAGTAAGAAATTATTCAACAAGGCGGGGCATGGTGGCTCACACCTGTAATCCCAGCACTTTAGGAGGCCACGGCGGGTGGGTCACCTGAGGTCAGGGTTCGAAACCAGCCTGACCAACATGGAGAAACCCCATCTCTACTAAAAATACAAAATTAGCCGGGCATGGTGGCACATGCCTGTAATCCCAGCTACTCAGGAGGCTGAGGCAGGAGAATCACTTGAACCCAGGAGGCAGAGATTGCAGTGAGCTGAGATCATGCCATTGCACTCCAGCCTGGGCAATAAGAGCAAAACTCTGTCTCAAGAAAAAAAAAAAAAAAAAGAAATTATTCAACATATCTCCCCTTCACCCCTTCTGTGCCAGGCCCTATACTAAGTGCACAGATTAATCTGTCACAGTCCTACCCTCAAGCAGCTTTCAGTCTAGTGTGGGAGGTAGACATGCACACTGACAATTACAACCCACTGTGGTACCATCATCAAGCTGGGTTTGTTGACCTCAGCACTATTAACATTTTGCACAGATCATTCTTCTTTTGGGATAGGCTTTCCTGGCATTGTAGGATATTTAGCAGCATCCCCACTCTCTCCCCACTAGATCCTAATAGCATTCCCCCAATCAAGGAAGTAAAAAATGTCTCCAGACTTTACCAAATGTCCCATGGGAGCAAAATGACCCCTAGTTGAGAACTTCTGTTATAAGGTAAGTAGAGTGGTATTTTCTCACTAGAGTGCCTTGGGATGAGCTAGCCAAGGTGTCCTGGAATACTGAGATGCCAGTACATTTTTCCTAGTCATCTCTTGGCCATGTTGGGGTCTCTTGGGTCCTCTGCACGGTGTATTTACCTCCTTTCTTTGTTTTGCCTCTAGACTATGGTCAGTGCAGTCAGAAAATTCCTAGAAGGCATCCCAGACCTGCAGCTAGTCTATACCCACCATCCGCTCCTGCTCAGGTTCTTTCTGTCGTATCCAGAGCTCATGAGTAGGTATGGGTACCGTGTCCTGGAACTTTGGTTCTCCTGGGAAGACAGCAGCTGTGAGGAACTGGATGATGTCACCTCTGCTGGGCAGCCCGCCCTTCCTACCAGCTTAGCAGTCCTGTTCCAGTTGCTCAGAAGCATCCCCAGCATCCTGCTCATCTTGCTGGTAAGCAACCACTCATTCATTTCTACATTCAGAAATGGTGGGCCTTCTCTCTGAGAGCCAGTTTACTGACATCAGGAGGGACCCACATTTGCTTCAGCCCACCTCTGGACTTATCACTGTCTACATGTGAGTTGGGCGGGGGGTCTTTTCTACTTGTAGGTGCCTGGTTTCTATAAATCCATACTCTCCTAAGTCTAATGGAAGTCTACCAACTAAGACATGTGTGCCTCTCTTCCCCCCAGGGGATGACACTATAAAATGCAGATCTTAGTCACTATCCGCTCTCACCTCCCTGTCATCTCTCAAGCAGATTCTGCTGACACAAGGTTTAATGTCAAAGGAAGCCCATGGGGCATGTAGATGGAGATTTCTGATGGCAGAGGGACTCCTCCTCTTTTTTGCCATGACTCACATGATAATATTATATGTGCATTACTTGCTCAGGCATACCTAGAATTGTCAGATGCCCCAATACTTTTTTTTCTGGAGACAGAGTCTCACCCTGTTGCCCAGGGTGAAGTGCAGTGGCATGATCTGGGCTCACTGCAACCTCCACCTCCTGGGTTCACACAGTTCTCCTGCCTCAGCCTCCCGAGTAGCTGGGACTACAGGCACACACCACCAAACCCGGCTAATTTTTTTTTTTTTTTTTTTGTAATTTAGTAGAGATGGGGTTTCACTGTGTTGCCCAGGCTGTCAGTACTTTTTAATGAAGTACATTACTGAAATTCCCATCAGGAATTAGATGGGTTAATTAGATTAGATAAGGTAAACTGCCTAGTGGCTGGCTTTAACTCAGCTTTTTTTCCTTCTACTCAAGAAAGCACATTGAACAACAAATTAGATACCAAGGAGAGTAGCAGGGAACAGAACTAAGATACTAGATTTTCTTCACCAGATGAAATATTTGGGGTCAGTTCCTCACACATAGTAGGTATTTATAAATTATGACCCATTGAATTATGGGTCTGGACAGATCTAAGTCTGTCTAGGGATAGTAGTGACAATACAGTCATGCATCACTTAATGATGGGGATACATTTTTAGAAACACGGTATTAGGTGATTTTGTCGTTGTGCCAACATCATGGAGTATACTTACACACATCTAAATGGTCTAGCCTACTACATTTAGGTCTATGGGATGGCCTGTTACTCCTAGGCTATAATCCTATATAACATGTTACTGTACTGAATATTGTAGACAAATGTAACACAGTGGCATTTGTATATCTAAACATAGAAAAGATATAACATGACTATGTCTTATTTTTTTCTTTCTTTTTTTTTTTTTTTTTTTCTTGCTCTGTTGCCCAGGCTGGAGTGCAGTGGCAGGATCATGGCTCACTGCAGTGTCAATCTCCTGGTTTCAAGTGATCCTCCTGCCTCAGCCTCCCAAGTAACAAGAATTGACTGGGTGCTGCAGCTCATGCCTGTAATTCTAGTACTTTAGGAGGCTGAACTGGGTGAATCACCTGAGGTCAGGAGTTCAAGACCAAGTAGCTACAGGCATGTGCTACCGTGTCTGGCTAACTTTTATATTTTTTGTAGAAACAGTGTTTTGTCATGTTGCCCAAGCTGGTCTCAAATTCCTGGCCTCCAGTGATCCTCCCACCATGGCCTCCCAAAGTGTTGGGATTACAGGCATAAATGACTGTGCCTGCCATTTTTTTCTTTTTAAATACATGAAACATAGGCTTAGAGAGATTTGCCCATGGTCACAAGAGTTGGGAATCAAAATATTAAAACCCAGATTTTGACTCCCTTTCTATCAGTTATTCTGTCTGAGGCTCTCTTTTTACTCAGTCTATTTATTCTCCCTGGGTTGTCTCATTCACACTCATGGTTTTGTTTGCCTCCTGTATAGTGATGACTCAAATCTCTGCGCCACCCCTGACCTCTCTCCTGAGCTCAGACCCATGAAGTCAACCATCTGTTTGACATTTCTGCCTAAAATGGAGCTCATTATCTCCTCTTCCAAATTCCCTTTTTCAGCCTGGGTCTTCCTAGAATGGAGGTCCCTCACTAACTGAAAGCTGTGCTAGGCCGCTAACTTCACGGGATGTAAATATTAAAAGAAGCAAACCAAACAGAAATTGAATCTCAGGAGACCAAATACTTAGAGTCTACATCCCAGGGAAGCTGGAGTGGATGCCCCACCATTTATCCTGGTGACCCAGTCCTTGTCGTTGAATGTGCACCATCCTCATCACCTCTCCTTTCTGGAGGTGGTGGAGGTCAGGGCAGAGAGGAGTCTTGTGCTTCACTTGGCATAGAGCTTAACAGAAAGGAGTTGCCTTCAAGACGGGTTGTTGCATAGAGGATTAGGAAGATAGAGGCTAATCTGAACTTCAGTTTCCTCCCACAGAAAATGGAGAAAACATGAGGGTAGATGAGATAGTATGTAGGAACACTCTTGATTTGCTTCGCATAGTGGACTGTCATTCACTAATCATTGACTCTGCCTCTGAACCAGATAAAGTTCATCTCAGAGAAGCTAATTGAATTGCCCAAGGTCATATAGTTAATAAGGGTCATGGCTATGACTGGAGCCCAAAGTGAGTAAGTTTTTCACTAACTTAGACCCTAGAGACATCAATGGTAAAAAAGAACAACAGGGAGACCGGGCGTGGTGGCTCACGCCTGTAATCCCAGCACTTTGGGAGGCTGAGGCGGGTGGATCACAAGGTCAGCAGTTAGAGACCAGCCTGGTCAACAACGTACAATTTAGTAGCCCGTCTCTACTAAAAATACAAACAATTAGCTGGGCATGGTGGTGGGCGCCTGTAGTCCCAGCCACTCGGGAGACTGAGGCAGAAGAATCGCTTGAACCTGGGAGGCGGAGGTTGCAGTGAACCAAGATCGAGCCACTACACTCCAGCCTGGACAACAGAGCTAGACGTCATCTCAAAAAAAAAAAAAAAAAAAAGAAAGAACAGTAGGGAACAACTTTATTGTCTGTTCATATATATAATTCTTACCATTTCTCCCCAGCTTCTAGCCACAGGAAGGAAAAAGAGTCTAAAAATTTGTGTTGATAACCAATTTCTGTTTTTGATATGGGTAATTAACAGCTGAAAACAAAGCTGTTAATTGCTACTCTTATCAATGGGTGGTTTTTCATGTAGCTTGTTTAGATGTGAAGGGACAATGACATCACAGAAACTCTGTTTGTTTCCTCCTTGGCCAAGTTACCCTGGTCTATCTAGTCCCAGAGAGTTCTGGACAGCAGAGACTACAGATTGGGTCATGGTTTTGCCCAGAGCCTTCCCACTGATCCATATGGTGGGGTCCACACATTCCTCTTCCTTCAGCATTCACCATAGCCACTCAAAGCTGAGAAGCCCCTTCCTTTTATACCTTTAACATTCATTAACTCAGACTTCTGAGGGACTAGCTCTGTGGCAGTGGGGCAGTGATGTGTTGGTGAAGGTGCAAGACCAGGAAACTGGTTTGACTCTGGGCTCTATGACCTTGCACAAATCATGCTCCTCCCTTCCCACCGGGCTTCAGCCTCATACTCTGTAAAGGAAAGGTATTGGAAAAAATTATCTAGATTCTTTCTAGCCCTCCCATTCTGTGACCTTTTCTTTCCAGAGATGTTTTCTGAGTCCCTGCAAGGTGACAAAGATGAAGTAGACCTCATCCCTTCCCTTCATTAACTCACAGTGTAGTAGAATTTACAACTTTATTACTTTCTTGATAATGTAAACTGATTAACCTGCCCCAGTTTTCTCATTTGAAAAATTGGGGTGACACCTATATGGAAGAGTTATTGTAGAGGTATAAATAATGTATAAACAAATATACAACTACTGTATAAACACAACATAGTACCTGACACTATTAGGCCCTGAGTGGTTGTTGATATATAGTTGTTTTTCCAGCAACTGTGGAGGTTTCTAAGAGTCAAACTTAGACATGCCTGTGACCCCATCCCCTCCTTCTGCCCAGTGATCAGCACACCTGGGTTTGTCTGGCCAGATGCATTGTAGCCATATCTCTCTGTGTGTCAGGAGCTGCCCTCCCTGGAGAGAGAGTCTGTGTGACCTTGGGTTCATAACCCTCAGTCCTAACTAGCCCAGCACATTAGCCTGTCCAAAGGAATTGGCTTCTTTGAGCTAGTGGGAGCCAGGAGCTATCAGTAGGGTAGCCTCTGGTACAGCTTCTGACTGGCTTTGTCTTTAACATATACTCATTAAAATAACTCTGAAAGCAAAATAAAAAGCAATGTCCTTTCCCATCTTCCGAGCCTAAGGCCTTTATAGCTTAGGGCAGAGATAGCCAGATGCCTTGGTAGAGAAGGGGCCTGACCTGGTCCTCACTTCCCTTACCGTGCATTGAATCTGTCCTTTTGCAAGAGGGAGGCATCCTGGAAAATAGAGCTTTGGGCTTGGAGTTAGGAAACCTGCATTCAAATTCTGTCTGTGCCACTGGCTTATATAACCTTTAGCAAGTCCTGTAATCTCTCTGAGCCTCTGTTTTCTCCTGTTTGGGATGGATTTAATAGGATGGACCTATTCTTTTTCTTTTTTTTTTTTTTTCTTGAGACGGAGTCTCGCTCTGTCACCCAGGCTGGAGTACAGTGGCATGATCCTGGCTCACTGCAAGCTCTGCCTCATGGGTTCACGCCATTCTGCCTCAGCCTCCCGAGTAGCTGGGATTACAGGTGCCCACCACCACGCTTGGCTAATTTTTTGTGTTTTTAGTAGAGACAGGGTTTCACCATGTTAGCCAGGATGGTCTCGATCTCCTGACCTCGTGATCTGCCCGCCTCAGCTTCCCAAAGTGCTGGGATTACAGGTGTGAGCCACCGCGCCTGGCCTAGGATGATCCTGTTCTAAGGGATGGTTGTGACGTGTCAGTGCACCTAGAAGAGCCTTCGGTACATAATAGGTGCTGAGTAAGTGACAGATTACCCAGTTTTTGTGACACTCTAATTCTGGGCCCTTTTCCTGCCCCTCTATTCCGCATTGTCACTTTTCCCCAACTGCAGTACCCTCTGATCTCTCGCTTTCTTCTCTCCTGCTCAGGACCTCATCTATTCCAGCCCAATGGACACAGCTCACAAGGTACTGATTAGCCTGAGGACCTTCCTGAGGAGGAATGAGGATATACAAGTGGGTGGTCTTATCCGAAGCCACTTCCTGCTGATCCTGCAGCGTCTGCTAGTGGAGCATGGGGCCTCCCCATCAGAAGGTCAGTCTGCAGCTGCTGTGGGCACACTTTGACCTGAAAGCCAGTCGAGAATGGGCATCTCTACCCTTGTTAGGTCTGCTCCAGGAGAGAGAATCAGGATTTTATCTGAAAAAGGAAGGCCATTGTGGTATCAAGCTAAACTTCACCTCCTTTTTCTCATTGCAGAGTGGGCATACATCATGCTTGGTTTGCTGTGTGTGTGTTTAACATGAGTGGATGTGTTTGATGTGTGCGTGCATATCCCCACCGTGTGCAGCATGTGCTCAGAGTTGTTTGTCACAAGCATGGCAGCCCCCCATGGGAAGAAGAAGGTGGAAAATCTGAAGGAGGCTGGAGGCAGCAGCAGTCCACAGGGGCCGGGAAGGGAGGTGGATCTGTGATGTATTGGAAGCTCCCAGTGAGATCTGGGGGAATAGTTTCCAAATCTGGCATGGTACTCACTAGAGTCAAGGAAGCTTGATGTTTGGTACAGTATGAAGACACTGAAAATTGGGATTGGTTTATTTTATTGTATTTATTTATTTTATATTTTATATATTTTATTTTATTATTATTTTATTTTATTTTATTTTTGAGACAGAGTCTCACTAGACTGTCACCCACGCTGGAGTGCAGTGGCAAGATCTCTGCTCACTGCAACCTCCACTTCCCGGGTTCAAGCAATTCTTGTGCCTCAGCCTCCCAATTAGCTGGGACTTACAGGCGTGTGCCACCACACCTAGCTAATTTTTTTTGTATTTTCAGGACAGACGGGGTTTCACCATGTTGCCCAGGGTGGTCTCAAACCCCTGAGCTCAAGTGATCCGCCCGCCTCAGCCTCCCAAAGTGCTTGGATTACAGGGGTGAGCAACTGTGCCCGGCTCAATTTTTTTCTATTTTTAGAGAAGTTGAATTTTTAAAATAATTTTTTTCTTCTTGAGACAGGGTCTCACTCTGTTGTTCAGGCTAGAGTGCAGTGGCATGATCTCGGCTCACTGCAGCCTTCACCTCCCAGGTTCAAGTGATTCTTCTGCCTCAGCCTCCCTCGTAGCTGGGATTACAGGCACGCACCACTGCGCCCAGCTAATTTTTTGTATTTTTAGTAGAGGTGGGGTTTCACTATATTGTCCAGGCTGCCCTCGAACTCCTGACCTCAAGTGATGTGCCTGCCTCAGCCTCCCAAAGTGCTGGGATTATAGGTGTGAGCTACACACTCGGTCTAAAATTATATTTCTAAGCAAAGCGAGAGGTAATCTGTAGCTGCTTGACAGAGGACTGAGGGTTTGGAAGTAGATTTAAGGGTGTCAAGAGGAGATGAGTTATTTCTTTTCAGGAAAGGACAAGCCATGTTTAACTGATAATACTGGTTAAGAACCTTAAGATTTAGTGGAAACATAGTGGGAAGGCCATGGGCATTGGATTCAGATTTGGGTCTATTTGAGCCATAGACGGTGACTTATAAACAACAGAAATTTATGTCTCCCAGTTTTGGGGGCTGGGAAATCCAAAATCAAGGTGCTGAAAGATTCAGTGTCTGGTGAAGGCCCACTTCCTGGTTCATAAATGGCTGCCTTCCTTCCTTCCTTCCTTCCTTTTCTTCTTTCTTCTTCTTCTTTTTCTCTTCTCCTCTTATTCTTCTTCCTCTTTTCCTCCTCCTTCCTTTCCTTCTCCCCTCCCTCCTCCTCCTCACTTCTCCTCCTCCTTTCTTCCTCCTTCTCCTCCCCTGCCCCCCACAGCCTTGACCTCCTAGGCTCAAGCAATCCCCCAACCTCAGACTCCTGAGTAGCTGGGGTTATAGGCATGTGCCAGCATGATGGCTTATCTTCTTACCGTGTCCTCACATGGCAGAAGGGGTGAGGGAGGGAGTTTCTTTCAAAAGGCCACTCATCCCATTCATGAAGATTTTGCCCTCATAATTCAGTCATCTACCAAAGATCTCACTTCCTAATACTATCACATTGGGGGTTAAGATTTCAACATGAATTTTGGAGGAACGCAAACATTCAAACCATAGCATCCTGCCACTTTCTGGCTGTGGGACCTTGGAGAAGTCACTTAGCCTCTCTGAGCCTCAATTTTGTCAATACAAAATAGGAATAACAATCCATACTTCACATTTTTTTAGTGGGATTAAATGAAATAATGAATTCCTGGTACCAACCTATGTCTGGCACTTAGTTTATCAGTCATTCCTGTTCTAAATAAAAGAAATAGGAGTAAATCCTAGCAAAACACCTCACCCCTTAGGAAACAGAAAACTTTGAACCTATTATTAAGGGCCATTAAAGCAGGGCAGGGTGTCTGACCTTCAGGTGATCTGAGCATCAGGCTTCCTGCCTAACCCTCCGTCTTCTTCACAGCCTCGGGGAACCTACCATTGCTGCTGAGCCTCCTCTCCCTGATGCAGCTCAAGAATGTGTCAGAGCAAGAACTGGACAGCATGGCCATGAAGCTCCTTCACCAAGGTGCCCTGGCTGCTTGGGATAGCACCCGAGGGTCCAGGGCTGGATGGGCAGTGGGTGCTCACTAAGTAGGCTGGTGTTCTTCTTTCTTCTACTCTTTCATCCCTTTGGAAGAGGCTAGTAGGTCAGTCTATCCCTAGGGTTTTCTTGCTAAAGGACCTCTCAGGGCTTTCTCTGCTTGTTCTCTGGGAATGTTTGGGAGACACCCCACCTCTGCAAAAAATCAGCATTATGAGGCCAGTTGGGGGGGGCGGTGCTCATGCCTGTAATCCCAGCACTTTGGGTGTTTGAGGCAAGAGGATTATTTGAAGCCAGGAGTTCAAGACCAGCCTGGGCAACATAGTAAGATCCTGCCTCTACAAACAGCCAGTCCTGGTGGCTCATGCCTATAATCCTAGCACTTTGGGAGGCTGAGGCAGCGTGTCGGTTGAGCTCAGGAGTTCAAGACCAGCCTTGGTAACATGGTGAAACCCTGTCTCTACAAAAAAATACCAAAAATTAGCTGTGCGTGATGATGCAGACCTATATATAGTCCGAGCTACTTGGAAAGGCTGAGGCGGGAGGATTGCTTGAGCCCAGGACGTCAAGGCTGCAGTGAGCTATGATCTCACCACTGCACCCAGCCTGGGCAATGGAGTGAGACCTCGTCTCTAAAACAAACAGATCAGTGTGTGACAGGCACAAGCTCTAGAGTCAGGAAGGCCTGGGTTTGAATCTCAGCTTAGTCACCAGCAATCATCTAGTCTCTGTGAGCCTTAGGTTCTTCATAGGTAAAGTAGTAGTACTTTCCTAACCTAGGGTTAAGATAAGGAATACTTACCTAGTTAGTTAGAGAATGTCACACAGTGCTTGACATACAGTAGGCCTTCAACAGATGCTATCCATGCAGATTCCTTTTTTTCCTGGCACAAAGTCAACTCTCCACCTCATCCTACAATTGACTCAGATCTGATGATCCAGTTCACAGTTCTCCAGGCTTCTTTCTTACACCCCAAACCTCCTTGGTTTCTCAACTCGTGATGCTGTCATCACTTCATAGGCAGCACCTGAAGGAAGATTTGCTGAGGGAAGATTGAAATGAATAGGAAAAATGATGTGTCTTCAGTGTCTGTGGACCCCTCCCAGGTCCTCTAGCCACAGGTGAAGATGGGGCACCTTCCCTGCCCGGAGCTCAGTCCATCTCATGAGAAGATCAGTGTCAGATTCAAAAAAAGGCTACTGGGGACACATTGCAGATGGCCTCAGCCTGGTGCCAGTCATCACCAACCTGTCTGTGAGATCACGGCTGACACTAAGCTAGGAGGGAGATTTGTGTGTGACAAACTCAGCCTTCAAAAGAGCCTCTGACAGGGAGTAACAGGCTGAAACCCATATAATGTAATGTATTAGGACATTTACGTATAATCTTTGAGCACTTCTATATGAGAGCAGAGAGTAAAGGACTGTGGTTCGGGTGGAGATACTGTTGTGGGAGGGAGCCAAGACCTGCTTGTCTGGGTGACCACAGAAGTCAGGGTGTGATGTGGCTGCCAAAAAGTGAATGGAGATGTAGGTAGGTTTCATATTAGGATGGGGATAGGGAGATGGGAAGTAGGAGTTCCCAACAGTAAAGGGATATGTTCTATAGATGTCTACAGTGTAATGTTGCACTGATGAGTCCTGGGAGAATGCAGAAGCAGCATCTAATCTTGCCTTGAGAGGTTAAGGAAGGCTTCAAGGGGGAGATTAACTTTGAGCTGAATCTTTTTTTTTTTTTTTTTGGACAGGGTCTCACCCTGTCACCCAGGTTGAAGTGTAATAGCATGATAATTGCTCACTGCAGCCTCAACTTCTCGGGCTCAGGTGATCCTTCCACCTCAGCCTCCTGAGCAGCTGGGACTACCAGTGTGTGCCACGATGCCCAGCTAATTTTTTGTATTTTTTGTGGAGAGACGAGGTCTCACCACGTTGCCCAGGTTGGTCTCGAACTCCTGGGCTCAAGCAATCCACCTGCCTCCGCCACCCAAAGTGTTGGGATTAGAGGCGTAAGCCACTGCGCAGGCCTGAGCTGAATCTTGATTGCTGACAAGGACTAGAGGAGTTAGCCAAATGAAGTGATGTGAGAGAGGGGATGTGGCAAGTGCAGGGAACTGCACTTCATTCGATGGTTAAAGTTCCCTTGGGAAGGTGGTGACGATGTTCAAAGGATCCTTTTGAATTCCTGAAGTCTTTCTGGCTAATGTGCAGCTGTAGGATGCTTGCCTGATGTTTGTCTAGATGGAAGGTGTGAATGTGCCTTGAGGTTTGTCACTGTGTTTCTTTCCATTGGTTGTAATATCAGGGATACTTAGTTTGTGCTTGCTCCCCAAGACTGACGTCTGAAATAACCGGTCACAGGCTACCACCTGTGACAAGTGTGAGTGTTGTGCGACAGGCCGCCTGGGGACTCTCATCTCTTGCAGTAAGCAAGCTGTGTGGGAAGTGCAGCCCCACTGACGTGGACATCCTGCAGCCCTCCTTCAACTTCCTGTATTGGAGCCTTCATCAGACCACACCCAGCAGTCAGAAAAGAGGTGCAGGGGCCTGGGCTGGGACAGTGAAGAGTGCTGGGCAGTCTGTGGTCCTCTCTACCTCAACTTTTTCATCTTAAAAAAATGAATAGGGTTCTGTGTGTGTGGCTGGTAGTCATAAGGTCCTTTCTGGCTCTAATAACCTAAGCTTCTGTTACGAAGCTGGGATCCTTAGAGCCTGAGGATGATTCTCTGTTTGTGAAGCCCCCATCAGGTGCTAAGCACCATGGTGGCACTTAGCTGAAACTCCTCTGTAACTCCTGTGGGCCCTGCCCTGCCCACCCCCTGCAGCTGCTGCAGTGCTCCTGAGCAGCACAGGCCTGATGGAGCTTCTGGAGAAGATGCTGGCCCTCACCTTGGCGAAGGCAGATTCTCCCAGGACTGGGCTCCTCTGCTCTGCCTGGCTGCTCACTGCCTCCTTCTCTGCCCAGCAGCACAAGGACAGTTTGCAGGTTAGTCTCTAACTCCTGTGGCTTTGAGGCATGGGGTGGCACTCAAAGGAGTGTTGAAGATCCTGAGTTCTGGTCCCAGCTCTAGGGCTTATTAGCTGTGTGACCTTGGCAAGGTATTTACCCTTTCTGAGCTCAGTTTCCTTACCTACAAAATGGGGAAAACATCTCAGGGTTGTAATCCACTTAACACATAAGGTTTACCTATGCTCCAGGCTCTATTCTTGGCACAGAGGAATAAAAAATGAATATAACATGTGTCCTACCCTTAGGGAACTTGTAGTCTTTAAGCAAAGCCTTGAAAGATAAGATTGTACTCAGCAAAGATAGTGGGGAAAGGCATTCTAGGTAGAGAGAACAATATGAGCAAAGGCATGAAGCTGCACAAATTCAGGACATGTTCTGTATGTTTGGGGAGTGGTGAGGTGCTCTGTGTGACGAGAATGTGGGGAATGAATGGAGCAGAACAGACCAGACGGGGAGGCAGAAGCCAGCCTGCAACCTTGAAGTATAGCATGGCAAGCTGTGGAATGCCGCACATGGTTAACTGTCGTTATTACTGTTCCAGAAAGTGATGCAGGGAAGAGAAGAGCAGTGGACATATCCACAGAGCACCTCTTTCCCCTCAGCCCCTCCCTCTTGTAGGGCCTTGTCATCACAGTGCCCTGCATGAGCTCCTCTGTGGGCTGCTTCTCATGGAAACCATCTGCTAGCCTCTGTGGTATCCTCACACTGTGCCCAATACTGTGCCAATCTAGTGATGGGCACACAGAAGTGATATCAGTTTTAAACTTTGGCCTCTAGAGGGGCAACAAGCTGTGGCAAATCTATGCTCTGGCAAATCCTGTAAGTTGTTACCTGTGGTTGGTTTAGGACAGAAACCTTTCCTAATTTTCTGTGTGAGGCTGCTGGGCTCATCCAGCTGTCTGCAGTCACCTGCCTAGGAGAAAACTTGCATTTTGTCCTTAGCTCTGCCCTGACCCTCAGCTCACACCTAGGCAATTACCTGCTCCCAGCTACCTCCAGTGCCCTAACTCAGGCCTGATCATTTGTGCTCCCCACTAATGTGACCTAGTTACAATCTCCTGGCCACCCGTCTCTTCCCTCCTCTGCATGTCCTATCATTGCAGCCACAGTCTGTCCTCACATCCCTTCTGCCCAAGCTGCTGCCTTTTTGTCCTCCTCTAGGCCTAACCCTCTGCAGCCTTACTTTCTGCCATTTCCACCCACCTTCCCTGTCCTCTGGTCAGGCATTTGTGCTTCTCCCAGTCAGCTGTGCTCCTTCACATCGCCATACCTTTTTTTTTTCTGTTTTGTTTATTATTAATAGACTTCATTTTTAGGACAGTTTTAGATTTATAGAAAAATGGTGCAGGTAGTACAGAGAGTTCCCATATAACGCTCCCCCCCAACCTCCCGACACACACACACACACACACACACACACACAGAGTTCCCTGTTATTTTATTTTTTGAGACAAAGTTTTGCTCTTGTTGCCCAGGCTGGAGTGCAGTGGTGCAATCTCGGCTCACCACAACCTCCGCCTCCTGGGTTCAAGCGATTCTCCTGCCTTAGCCTCCCGAGTAGCTGGGATTACAGGCATCCGCCACCACACCCAGCTAATTTTGTATTTTTAGTAGAGGTGGGGTTTCTCCAAGTTGGTCAGGCTGGTCTTGAACTCCTGACCTCAGGTGATCTGCCCACTTTGGTATCCAGAAGTGCTGGGATTACAGGCCACTGTGCCTGGCCTGTCTTAATTTCATAGATGAAGAAAGTAAGGCATGCTAAGAGAGGTGCAATAACTTGCCTAAGGCCATACAACTGATAGGTAGCAAAGCCAGGATTATTATTATTATTATTATTATTTTTAAAGAAATGGAATCTTCGCCCAGGCTGAAGTGCAGTAGCAGTATCCCAGCTCACTGCAGCCCTGGCCTCCTGGCTCAAGTGATTCTCTCACCTCAGCCTCCTGAATAGCAAGGACTACAGGCACATGCTACCATGCCCAGCTAATGTTTTTGCATTTTCTTGTAGAGATGGGGTTTTGCCATGTTGTCCAGGCTGGTCTTTAACTCCTGGGCTCAAGCAGTCCTCTCACCTCAACCACCCAAAGTGCTGGGATTACAGGTGTAAGCCACTGTACCTGATCTGAGAGCCAGGATTTTGATTTGGCCTGACTCCAGATTTTTTTAGAGTTAGGTGTATAGTGAACAGAGCCAGAGACTGAACCACAGATGAGGCCAGGGAAGGCTGTCTGGTGGAGGAGGCCAATGAGGATGGCAGAGATTTCGAAGAAAAAGAGTTCTTCAGGTACAGACTTGATTCTCCTCCTAATGCTCCTGAAGCTAGGGCTGGTGCAGCTTAGAGGACTCTGTGTGGTCTCCTCTGTCCCCTTTCGATGCAGTGGATATGTGGGGGGAGGTGATAGAAGAGATTTTCAGGCAGGTTATTTTTTGCCCAGGCTTCCAGAACATGGGGGTTAGCCCTTTACCCTGTGCCCTGCCAGGTTCACCAGACACTCTCTGTGGAAATGGACCAAGTACTGAAGGCTCTCAGCTTTCCAAAAAAAAAGACTGCACTGCTCTCAGGTATTGGTCCACAAGTCTCTAGCAGAAGAAAAGCTTTTCTCCTCGGTTTTCAGATAGGACCAGCACCCTGACCAGCCTATGGTCACTCCATAATTGTCTCATCTTCATTGTCTCCCATCCTGTGACACAGCTGGGTGGGAGGTGGGAAGGAGACAGGAACTGGGTCTAAGGAATCTCTTGCTTCCAGCTGCCATCTTATGCTTCCTGCGGACAGCCCTGCGACAAAGCTTTTCCTCTGCCCTGGTAGCCCTGGTGCCTTCAGGGGCCCAGCCACTGCCAGCCGCCGAGGACACTGTCCTAGCTCCACTGCGAACATCGCAAGTCCGGTCCCTGGTCATTGGGCTGCAGAACCTCCTGGTGCAGGTAAGGCTCTTGCTGAGTGGGGCTTGCTTCTCCCAAGAGCCTGATATTCCTACCAGGGCTTGGAGGGTGGAATCTTCGCCCAGGCTGGAGTGCAGTGGCGCAATCTTGGCTCACTGCAAGCTCCACCTCCCGAGTTCAGGCCATTCTCCTGCCTCAGCCTCCAAAGTAGCTGGGACTACAGGTACCCACCACCACGCCCAGCTAATGTTTTTGTATTTTTAGTGGAGACAGGGTTTCACCATGTTAGCCAGGATGGTCTTGATCTCCTGACCTCATCATCTGCCCATCTCGGCCTCCCAAAGTGCTGGGATTACAGGCGTGAGCCACCGTGCCTGGCCCACCCGGCCTATTTTTATTTTTTAAATACAGATGGGGTCTTGCTATATTGCCAGACTGGTCTCGAACTCCTGGCCTCAAGCGATCCTCTTAACTCGGCCTGCAAAGTTGCTAGGATTACAGGCATAAGCCACCACGCCCTGTCTGGGTGAGACTTTTAAAGCTACAGTGACAGAAACAAAACTCAATTTGACTTATAACTGAGAGGTCCTGGGATTAATACTGGCTTCAGGCACAGCTGGATCCCAGAAGCTCAGACAAGGTCATCAGACTCTTTCCATCTGTTGGCTTTGCATTCCTCACTGTCAGCTTTATTTTTATGACATAGTAGGATGACCAGCAGTAACTCCTAGCTTATATCCTCCAGGGAAAAAAGATTTCTCTTTCCTCATAGTTCCCAGAATTGAGTCTCATTAGGCTGGCTTGGGTAATATGCCAGTCACCATGGTAGGGGCATGGGATGCCCTGATTGGCCTGGCTTGGGTCAGTGCCCTCTCCTGGAGGCCAGGGCATGTGGTCAGCTCTCCATAGCCCAGGTGGACTGAACCCAAGAGAGGGATGGCTCCCCACAGGAAAACTGCTGCCAGAAGGAGGGGATCCAGGGCAAGCAAAAGCATGTCCACCTCCAAGGGGTTTTTGTTTTATGGCTTAGGGGACACTTGTAGATTAGTGTTTATGTAGTCATATCCCGAGCCCTGACCAATGTCATGGCCTGTGAAGGGTACTGGTGGCTCCAGGAAGATGTCCCAGGAGTGGGCCCTATGCTAAGTCAGTGGTTGCTGAGTCTTGTCCTGTGGCACATCCATGCACAAGGCTCTGTGCTCTTTAGGGATCAAACATCTATCCTATTACAGCACTTAGCTCTCTGTTTCAAGTTTCCATTTTCATATCACTCCTCCCCGTACCAGGTTGTGATATACTCAAGGGCAGAGTCTGAGTCTGGTTAATCTTTGTGTGTTCTTCCCCTTGTGGGTTTAAAGCTAATTTAGAATTCAGGAATCAGATGAGAACCAAAATATCAGCTTTATTGCTGGTAAACATCATAGTAGAATATTGGCTGGGACTCAAACAGAATGGGCTTTTTTTTTTTTTCTGTAGTTTTTCAAACATACAGCAATGAGAGAATTTTACAGTGAACACTCATACACCCATCACCTAGATTCTGCTAATAACATTTTATTATACTTGCTTAATCATATCTGTCCAAAATGAGCTTTTTAAACCACCCTCCTTCTTGCCAGACCAGGGTCCACAGGTGGGAAAAACTGTGTTTACATTATGGACACTTAGCCAGCTGGCTAGGATCTTAAGAGTTTAAATTCATGGGAGCATAACCTTTAATACCTTAATCCTGCCCTGATGGCACAGTAGATCTTAAGCTAGTGTCTTGCCTGTTAGATAAAACCTTCCTTGGGTGAGGAGGGCCAGTTAGAGAAATGCTTTCTCCCTAATGTTTCTAAAAGGGCTGACATTCCTGTTTAACATTCAGAACAGGAGGTGGGGGGGGAATGATTTCCTAATATCCAGCACAGAACTTGGCACAAAACTGGCATCTGGGAATGTTTGTTGAATGGATGAAAACACAGAAATTAACATGACATGATCTCAGCCATTTAGGCACTCACAGATTATAGGAAACACAAATAACTACATCTAATGCCAAAATGACCCATTAGCAGTTGAGCATTCCTAATACGAAAGTCCAAAATCCGAAATGCCCAATGAGCATCTGCTTTGAGCATCATGTTTGTGCTCAAAAGTTTTGCATTTTGTAGTATTTCAGATTTCATATTTTTAATTACAGATACTCAACCAGTATTTGTTTTTTTGTTTGTTTTTGAGATGGAGTCTTGCTCTGTCGCCCAGGCTGGAGTACAGTGGTGCGATCCCAGCTCACTGCAACCTCTGCCTCCTGAGTTCAAGTGATTCTCCTGCCTCAGCCTCCCAAGTACCTGGGACTACTGGTACTTACCACAATGCTTGACTAATTTTGTATTTTTAGTAGACATGGGGTTTCACCATGTTGGCCAGGCTGGTCTCGAACTCGTGACCTCAAGTGATCCATCTGCCTCGGCATCCCAAAGTGCTGGGATTACAGGTGTGCCCAGCCTCAACCTGTATTGGAAGGCTGCACAGGAGAGGTAGCATTTGAACTGGGCCTTGAGTGATGAAAAAGCCTTCTTCAAACCAATAGCCTAAACACTAGGGTGGGGTGCCAGTGAGGTTTGTGTTTTTTTTTGGAGACAAAGTCTTGCTCTGTCACCCAGGCTGCAGTGAAGTGGTGGGATCCCAGCTCACTGCAACCTCCGCCTCCTGGGTTTAAGCAATTCTTCTGCCTCAGCTTCCTGAGTAGCTGGGATTACAGGTGTTTGCCACCACTCCTGGCTAATTTTTGTATTTTTAGTAGAGACAAGGTTTCACCATGTTGGCCAGGCTGGTCTCAAACTCCTGACATTCAGGTGATCCGCCCACCTCGGCCTCCTAAAATGCTGGGATTACAGGTGTGAGCCAACGTGCCCAGCCGCCAGTGAAGTATTGTATAGCAATTTCACCATCCGCCCCTCATGCCCAAGAGTCTAGATGTCTCCCTGGCCTGTGACACTCAACTCTGCCTCTGGCAACTGTTTATTTTTATCAACAGTTAAGAGTGCAGTGGCATGATCATGGCTCACTGCCACCTTAACCTGCTGGGCCTAAGTGATCCTCCCATCTCAACCTCCTGAATAGTTGGGATTATGGGTGTACACCACCATGCCCAGCTAATTTTAAAATACTTTTGTATTGGTAGTGAGGCCAGGCGAGGTGGCTCATGCCTGTAATATCAGCACTTTGGGAGACCAAGGCGGGCGGATCACTTGAGGTCAGGAATTTGAGGCCAGCCTGGCCAACATGGTGAAACCCCATCTCTACTAAAAATACAAAAAAATTAGCCAGACGTGGTGGCATGCACCTGTAATCCCAGCTACTAAGGAGGGCAAGGCAGGAGAATCACTTGAACCCAGGAGGTAGAGGTTGCAGTGAGCCAAGATCATGCCAGTGCACTCCAGCCTGGGTGACAGAGCAAGACTCAATCTCAAAAAAATAAATAAATAAAAAATAAAATAAAATACTTTTGTAGAGATGATATCTCACTATGTTGCCCAGGGTGGTCTTTACCTCCTGGGCTCAAGCAATCCTCTGGCCTTGACCTCCCAAAGTGCTAGGATTATAGGTGTGAGTCACTGCACCTGGCCTTGTTTTAATTATAGTAAACTATATATAACATAAAAATTAATATTTTAATCATTTTAAGTATACAGGTCAGTGGCATTAAGTACATTCACACTGTTGTGCAACTTTCACCATCATCCATCTCTAGATGTTTTAATCTTCCCAAACTGAAACTCTGTACCCATTAAACAATTCCCCAGTCCCCTCCCCTAGCCCCTCCCCCAGCCCCTGCATTTTACTTGCTCTCTCTATGAATTTGACTACTCTAGGGACCTCATGTAAGTGGAATCCTGTATTTGTCTCTCTGGTAGTTTTTGACTGTCTGTTCTCAACAGACAGTCCCTGGGAAGGAGAACCCAACCTGAGAAGCTCATGACTCCCCCTGTAGAAGTTGCTGGGCCTACCCTGCATATAGGAGGGTATTGCTGAAGAGCCTGTCTTAGCCTCACAGTCACTGTCCTATAATTGCCTAGTGAACAGGACCAACTGGCCTTTTCCTCTTTTCTCTCACTGCCACACTCCCGAGAAATTTCCTGGCCTTCTGTGTTCAGCCACAGTGCCCCCTCTGTCACTGCCCAGGACCTCATGGCTGTAGCTAAGCCTCCTTCATTTCAACCAGTTTGTTGTTTAAAGCTAGCTTTTTTTTTTTTTTTTTTTTTTTTGAGACAGACTGTTGTTCTGTTGCCCAGGCTGGAGTACAGTGGTGTGATCTCGGCTCACTGGGCTCACTGCAACCTCTGCCTCCCAGTTGCAAGAGATTCTCATGCCTCAGCCTCCCGAGTACCTGGGATTACAGGTGCCTGCCACCACACCCAGCTAATTTTTTGTATTTTTAGTAGAGACAGGGTTTCGCCATGTTGGCCAGGCTGGTCTCAAAACTCCTGGCCTCAAGTGATCCGCCTGCCTCGGCATCCCAAAGTTCTGGGATTACAGGTGTGAGCTACTGCGCCCGGTCTTAAAACTAGCTTTTTATTCATTTGTTCATTCATTTGTTCAGTGATTCATATATTCAGCAAATATTTATTCCAGTAACCCAGCAATAGAGGAAATCCCTCTCCCTTTAGCCCCCAGAATGGTTCATTCTGCTGTGTATTGAGTATCACATTAATCATATTTTATTATATGATCAGTGGTTTACATTGTGTTCTTCCACAAAACTGAGAACTTCTTTTTTTCTTTTTTTTCTGAGACAGAGTCTCACTCTGTCGCCCAGGCTAGAGTGCAATGGCATGATCTCAGCTCACTGCAGCCTCTGCCTCCCGGGTTCAGGTGATTCTCCTGCCTCAGCTTCCTGAGCACCTGGGACTACAGGCACCCACCACTACACTCGGCTAATTTTTGTATTTTTAGTAGAGACAGGGTTTCACCATATTGGCCAGGTTGGTCTCGAACTCCTGACCTTGTGATCTGCCCAACTCAGCCTCTGAAAGTGCTGGAATTACAGGCAAGCCACCACGCCCAGTCTGAAAACTTCTTTTAGGCAAAAATGTCCCCTGTGTGGGAAGTCAGGGGAGGCTTCACAGAGAAGGTGACATCTGAACTCAGCCTTGAAAGGTATCTAGGCAGAGGTATAGAGGGAAGGGCATTCCAGCAGGACAACAGCATGTACAAAATCACATAGTCTGAAAGTGCATGCTGGGGTGTGGGGTGTGATGAGGTAGAAAATGAGAGAAAAAGCTGGGCAGAGCCAAACTGAGCCGTGCCTCACACGCTAGGCTAAAAATCACGGTGCTAACTGTGGAAGGACGTCTGTCAGACTGTGTGTTTGAAAGTTCTCTCTCAGGCTGGGTACTATGGCTCACGCTTATAATCCTAGCACTCAGGGAGGCCAAGGTGGGTGGATTGCTTGAGTCTAGGAGTTCCAGACCAGCCTGGGCAACACGGCACAACCCTATCCCTATAAAAAATACAAAAAATTAGCTAGGCGTGGTGGCACATGCCTGTAGTCCCGTCTAATCAGGAGGCTATGGGAGGATCACCTAAGCCCAGGAGGTTGAGACCGAAGTGAGCTGTGATCATGCCACTGAGTTCCAGCCTGGGTGACAGAGTGAGACCTATCTCAAAAGAAAAAAAGAAAGTTCCCTCTTAGCCACAGTCGGGAAGATGGGGGCAAGGAGAGTGCCTGGAGGTAAGAACAAGAGGCTATACATGCAGATGACAGCTAGGCCACTCTCATACCCATAAGGGTGGCTAAAATAAGAACACAGATAATAGCAAGTGTTGGCAGGAAGGTAGAGAATGTCCACACAAAACCTTGTATCTGAATGTTCATAGCAGCACTATTCATAATAATGAAAAAGTGGAAACAACCCCAATGTCCATCAACTGATGAACGGACAAATTGTATATCCATACAATGAAATACTATTTGACCATACAAAGGAATGAAGCACTGGCACATGCTACAACATGGATGAACCTTGAGAACATTAAGTGAAAGAAGTCAGATACAAAAGAGCACATATTATGATTCTGCTTAAGAGAAATGTCTGGGAAAGGCAAATCCATGGAGACAGAAAGTAGATTAGTAGTTGCCTAGGGCTGAGTGGAGGGATGGGGGAACGAAGAGTGATTGCTGAGTATGGGGTTTCTTTTTAGGGGTGATGAAAATATTCTGGAATTATAATGCCGTGCAACTCTGTGGATATAATAAAAAAATCTACTGAATTATATCCTTTAAAGGATGAGTATCATGGTTCGTGAATTATATCTCAGTAAAATTATACTTTTAAAAACTGGTGTCAAGGGAGAAAAATGACAATGAAGCCTAAGCTAGAGCTCTGGGTGCTGGTCCTCCTTGACACCTCTGAGCCAAAGCAATCTGGCGGCACCAGCACTACAAACTGAGTGCTGATCAGCTATGCAGAATCTTCAGCAGTTGGGAGGCCCAGTGCAGTGCAGTGGAAGGTACAGTATCTAGAGTCACAGGGATCTGTGCCAAAGCCCCTGCCCAGCCTCTGACTCTGAAGATGTTTAGCAAGTCACTTCTTACTAATCTTCATGTTCTCCATCTGCAAAATAAAAGGGGTGTTTTGACATGAGAACAGCCTCTATTCCCCCAGGAATGGATCACGGTGGAGGAAAGTGTTAGTTGAAATAAGAATAGAGAGTGTCCAGGGTCCACCATGCTGGGTCACATGAGGTAAAGGGGCAGGTCAGTGGCAGCAGAGGGCTCTGAAGAAGGGCTATAGGGCACTGGAGTGATAAGGGTGGTTATGGGGATGATAAGTATATGTTTAACTTTATAATAAGCCATCAAATTGTTTCCCAAAGTGGCTGCACCATTTTACCTTCCCACCAGCAATGTATGAGTGCCAGCTGCTCCACATTCTCCTCAACACTTGGTGTTGTCAGTCTTTTAACTTTAGCTATTGGTAGATGTACAGGGGTACCTCTTAGTAGTTTTAATTTGCATTTCCCTAATGACTAATGATAAATATTTTCATGTGCTTATTAAAGCATACAATTTTGATGAAAGGTCCTGTTGCTTTAAAAAAAAAAAAAAAAAGGTTGAAACCCACTGGCTTAAGTACACTGTGAGGCTCTTCCAGGGTCTGTAATCTATGAATATTTTAGTGTGGCCCAGGGTCCATCTTCTTTTCTGAAACAAAGCACTCTTTTTTTTTTTTTTTAAGATGGAGTCTCGCTCTGTCACCCAGACTGGAGTGCAGTGGAGTGATTGTGGCTCATTCTGCTCCCGGGTTCAAGCAATTCTCTGCCTCAGCCTCCCAAGTAGCTGGGATTACAGGCCCCCACCACCACACCCGGCTATTTTATTGTATTTTTAGTAGAGACAGGGTTTCCCCATCTTGGCCAGGCTGCTCTTGAACTCCTGACCTCGTGATCCACCCACCTCAGCCTCCCAAAGTGCTGGGATTACAGGCGTGAGCCACCACAATGGAGTTTAGCTCTGTTGCTTAGGCTGGAGTGCAAGTGGTGCAATCTCAGCTCACTGCAGCCTCCGCCTCCCGGATTCAAGCAATTCTGCCTCAGCCTCCTCAGTAGCTGGGACTACAAGTGTGCACCACCACACCCGGCTAATTTTTGTATTTTTAGTAGAGATGGGGTTTCACCATCTCTACTGGGGTTGGTCTCAAACTCCCAACCTCAGGTGATCCGGGCACCTTGGGCTCCCAAAGTGCTGGGATTACAGGCGTGAGCCACTGTGCCTCGCCCAAAGCACTGTCTTGAATGTAGGTAAATCACACAGTATAAGCACTGTGCTCTGTTATGAGGGTGAGACATTAAGCCAACAAACATTTCTTGATTATCTACAGGGCTATAATCCCAAATCTGAAATTCTGAAATCCAAATAACTCTGAAAACCAAATGTTTTTTCTTGGTTGGCACCAAAAGCCACTGGTAGCAAAACATGACCTGAATTTTATTTATTTATTTATTTATTTATTTATTTATTTATTTATTTATTTATTTTCTGCAGAAGGACCCTCTATTGTCCCAGGCCTGTGTTGGCTGCCTAGAAGCCTTGCTTGACTACCTGGATGCCCGGAGCCCAGACATAGGTAGAAACTCTCCACATTCTCTGATGTTTCCATGAGAGAGATTAGAGGGAGCCATACCCCTCCATCCTTCTGTTCCAGCCTCCCATCCCCTTGTGTGACTCACACTTGTTTTGTTTAATTCTTTTAGCAGCACTGCAAGGGCAGTCATGCCCATTATACAGATGAGATCAATAAGGTTCAGAGAGGTCAAATGATGTGCCCAACCAAGGTCACAATGCTCTTAAGTGGCAGAGCCCTTCTTACTACCTGCCTTCCACAATCATGGCGTATATAGTTTCACTGAGCCAGCCAACATAGGTGGATTAGAAGCACAGCAAAGAAAGAACCCTCCTTGGGTCAGCTTCTCCAGTGCCCTGCCTCTAACTGGGTAGCCCCTTTTTAAGCCAATAGGAGAAAGTCCTCTTGAGCAGTGTCCCAAGGCAAGGCCTTGGAAGCATTAACAATCCAGTGTTTCTTGAAGCTCTTCACGTGGCCTCCCAGCCTTGGAATCGGTTTTTGCTGTTTACACTGTTGGATGCTGGAGAGAATTCCTTCCTCAGACCTGAGATTTTGAGGCTCATGACCCTGGTAAGTGCAGAAAGGATATCTTGTGGTGTGAGGAGTGTCATGAGCTGGGTGGTGCTGAAGAAGCCAGGGTCTCCTTACTTTAGGAAACCCTAATCCTCAAAGAAGGTGGAAGGGCTGGGCGGGCCTTCACCCTACAAGAGGCCTGCTGAAAGAATTCCTCTGAATGCCCATATCTCCTCATGCCAGGGGACCCCGACACCCTTTCCCCTACTTCTCTCATGGCATGTTGACCAGGGCCTGTCTACCACATGCCAGGTCTGCTAGATACTAAGGACGTCAATGAACCAGATACTCTGCCTTTAGGGTCCCTCAGTCTAAAGAGGAGGATAGACAGGTAAACTAGTAATGTAAATATGACACTACAAGTGGTAGAGTAGAGGAGATGCTAACTGTGAGGCACACAGTAAGTGCCCCTTGAATAAATAACAAAGCAGCGAGCCTAAGAATGACAGCGAAGTGGATCAACAAGTACATCAGTGGTTGGTGTAGGAACAAAGAGGAAAGAGTAATTGCTTCTCAGCAGTGAAGGAAACATTTTAGCTGTGGCTTGAGAGATTAATAGGCAGAGAGGAGGAAAGGTGTTCCAGGTAGTGAAGTAAGAACAACAGGTACAAGAGCACATGGTGGTATGTCAGGGGAGCCACACGTAGTTCATTTTGGCCCTGAGTGTTCAGTGCAATGTTGGAGAGGAGGGAGCCAAGGCCAAAGAGGCCAGGAGGGCCAACTCTCAGGATCTCACAGTTTGCCTTACTTTACCCCACTTCCTCATGACATAGCCCCACCTCTGCCCACTAACTCTGAGCTCCTTGAAGGGAGGCAGGTTCTGTGGGCCTCAGGACAGTGTCCCCTAAAGTTGGGGCACAGCAGATGTCTATGATGGAGATGCCAAATCACTGGGTGTTTGGGGCTTCTCTTCCTTGGCCAGTTTATGCGGTACCGGAGTAGCAGTGTCCTCTCTCATGAAGAGGTGGGTGATGTTCTGCAAGGTGTGGCTTTGGCTGACCTGTCTACCCTCTCGAACACCACACTCCAGGCCCTGCATGGCTTCTTCCAGCAGGTGGGTGGGAAGGGGAGGCCATGCAGCCACTGTAAAGCTAGATCCTCAAGACCATCTTCTCTTGGAGGGTGGGAGCTCTGACCACAGCAGCCAAGGAATGGGAGGCTGGAAGTACAGAGGATGGAGGCAGTTAGGGCCTAAGTGGAGTGGGCACCGAGGAGGCCTGTCTTCCCTGCCCTCTTCTCCCTGCAGCTCCAGAGCATGGGACACCTGGCTGACCACAGCATGGCCCAGACCCTGCAGGCCTCTTTGGAGGGCCTTCCCCTTAGCACCTCCTCAGGCCAGCCACCCCTGCAGGACATGCTGTATCCTTTCTTGCATCTGGGAGCCTTGGCCTGGGCAAGCTTTCCCAGGCCGTAAGAAGCTGTGGCATCATGCTTCAGGACATAGGTGCACTATAGTCTTGTCTTCTAAAGTAAGCAGGGGTCAGTGAGGATAATTAACAGTGTTGACAACAGCAATGCCGTGTCCTGTTAATATTAAGTTCCTACAAAGACCAGGCACATTACAAGCATTATATATATATGTATGTATAAATATATATTTTTTTATTTTGAGATTCTCTCACCCAGGCTGGAGTGCAGTGGCACAATCTTGGCTCACTGCAACCTCCGCCTCCTGGGTTCAAGCAGTTCTCCTGCCTCAGCCTCTTGGGTAGCTGGGACTACAGGCGCCTGCCACCAGGCCCAGCTATTTTCTTTTTTTTGTATTTTTAGTAGAGACAGGGTTTCACCATATTGGACAGGCTTGTCTCGAACTCCTGACCTTGTGATCCGCCTGCCTCAGCCTCCCAAAGTGCTGGGATTACAGGCGTGAGCCACCATGCCTGGCTACATGCATTATATTTAATCCTCACATCAGCTAGGAGTGTTAAGGTAGTTGTAGTACAGGTTGAGCATCCCTAATACAAAAATTAGAAATCCAAAGTGCTCCAAATCTGAAACTTTTTGAGTGCTGATGTGATGCTACAGGTGGAAAATTCCATACCTGACTTCACGTGATGAGTTGCAGTCAAAATGTAGTCAAAACTTTGTTTCATGAATAGGCCAAGTGCGGTGGCTCATGCCTGTAATCCCAGCACTTTAGGAAGCCTAGGCAGACAGATCACTGGAGGCCAGGAGTTTGAGACCAGCCTGGCCGACATGGTGAAATCTCATCTCTATGAAAAATACCAAAATTAGCTGGGTGTGGTGGCATGTGCCTGTAGTCCTAGCTACTCAGGAGGCTGAGGCACAAGAATAGCTTGAGTCGGGGATGTGGAGGGCAGTGAGCCGAGATCACACCACTGTACTCCACCCTGGGCGACAAAACAAGACTCTGTCCCAGAAAAAAACCAAAAAATTTTGTTTCATGAATAAAATTATATTTTTAATATTCTTTTATTTATTATTTTTTTTAAGACAGCATCTTGCTTTGTCACCCAGGCTGGAGTGCAGTGGTGTGAACATAGCTCATTGTAGCCTTCACCTCCTGGGCCCAAGGGATCCTCCCGCCTTAACCCTCCAAGTAGCTGAGACTGCAAGTGAGCTACACCAGTCTCAGCTACTTGAAGGTGGCTCCAAGTAGCTCTCATGCCTGGCTAATTTTTGAAGTTTTTTGTAGATACAGGGTTTCACCATGTTGCCCAGGCTTGTCTCAAACTCCTGAGCTCAGGTGATCTGCCTGCTTTGGCCTCCCAAGTGCTGGGATTACAGGCATGAGCCACCGTGCCTGGCCCATGAACAAAATTATTTAAAACACTGCATAAAATTACCTTCAGGTGTCCAGACGTGTGGCTCATGCCTACAATCCTAGCACTTTGGGAGGCCGAGGTCGGTGGATCACCTGAGGTCAGAAGTCCAGACCAGCCTGGCCAACATGGTGAAACCCCATCTCTACTAAAAAATACAAAAATTAGCTGGGCGTGGTAGTGTGCACCTGTAATCTCAGCTACCCAGGAGGCTGAGGCAGGAGAATCACTGGAACCTGGGAGGCAGAGGCTGCAGTGAGCCAAGATCGCACCACTGCATACCAGCCTGGGTGACACAGCAAGACTCCATCTCAAAAAAAAGAAAAGAAAGCTTGGGGGCTGGGCACAGTGGCTCACACCTGTAATCCCAGCACTTTGGGAGGCCAAGGTGGGTGGATCACTTGAGGTCAGGAGTTCTGCAACAAACCTGGCCAACATGGTGAAACTCCATCTCTACTAAAAACACAAAAATTAGCTGGGCATGGTGGTGCACGCCTGTAATCCAAGCTGCTTGCGAGGCTGACGCAGAAGAATTGCTTGAATCCGGGAGGCGGAGGTTGCAGTGAGCAGAGAGCTAAGATTGTGGCATTGCACACTCCAACCTGGGCAACAGAGTGAGACTATGTCTCCAAAAAAAAAAAGCAAGCTTTTTGGGGGGCTGTGGCAGTGGTCAGAGGCCCTCTGGTGGGTGGTTGCACCCAGAGACACTGCAGTCCAGAGGTGTGTGTGAGGGTAGTTTGCTTCCTCCGCACCCCTCTGGCTGCCTCCCTGGCTCTCCTCCTTGCCCCTTCCTTGGAATAGTTCCCTGTTGAATAGCAACTACCTAGCCCAGGTGTTCAGGACCCAATTTTAGAATCCATCCCACTATTCTCAGGAGCACCTCTGTTCTTGCCTGACCATTCTTGCCTGTTTTGGGCTCTGGAAGTGTGATGCCCCCATGGTTGGCCCTACCTCTCTGCTGTTTTCCTCTCATGTTTTGCTGCCAGCTGCCTGGGAGGGGTGGCTGTATCCCTGTCCCACATCAGAAACTGATCCTCAGGACTTGAAGGCCCAGAAATGGAGAGAGAATGAGACCTGGAGACAGAGAGCATAATTGTTGAGGAAATGGATGACAGTTGAAGCTATTCATATGGAGCCATATACTCCATTGTTGAAACAGAATAAGGAAATAAAATGATACACTCACATACCTGCGTGGGCTCTCCAAAAACACCGTACTGCCTTGTCTACCAGGAGCTGGTTTCTCAGCCAGTTGGATAGGGGATTGTTTCAGCAAGGAGACTGATGGCCTCCTCAGGGAAGGAGGGACGGGACAGGATTCGTTCTTGAAACAGCACTCAGGGAGTCAGCTGGGTGCCTCAGCTGTACTCAGAGAACACCAGTCAGGCCATCCTGGGGCTGGCAGGGCAGAGAAAGGCCTAGGGGTTGGGGCTGCTGCGATCCAAGTGCTCCGAGAGGCAGTTGACCTGCTCCCTCGCCTCACATGGAGGTGGATAGAGGTAAACTTTCCAGGTAAGGAGGGTCAAATTCTCAACTTTCCTATCAGAACGAAACTGTCCCAGCCTCAGCCCTTCCCTGGCTAAAGTAGGTCCCCTCTGTCCCTTCCCATACAGCCATCATCGGAACTGGTGTTTATGCACCCTTGTGGGTAAATCTTGGGAATGCATGTCCAGCTCGGCCCCCGGCATGAGGTCTGCGCTCAACCCAGAGCGGGCCTCTAGCTCCCTTTCCCCCCGGCAGGGGCCCCGGGCCCGGAGATGGCCACGCCACGCTGCCTCCTCGGGTCTGGCTGTCCTGATCCTGCGTAAAAGTGGGGCTGCACTCGGCCTAACGAACGGACGGGGAAGCCCCCGACGCACTTGGTTTATTAGTTGGACCGGAGGGGCAAGCAAGGGATTCCCGAACCCTGCACTGCGTCTGTGTGAGGTCCTTAAAAAAGAAAAAAAGTGCTAGTCACTGCCCACTAAAGTCACCTTGCGATCTAAAATCTAAAAACTCGGCCACAGACGACGACACAGTTTCGAGGAGGGCGTGCAAAAGGTCACCCGGCCGACAGGAGCTGGGGCCCCTGTTTGCTGATTCACACCTTAATTTGGGCACAGACCCCACCTGCAGATTTAACTTCCTTCAACCCAAGCTAAATCCAGGGCCACGTACCCGGTGCCCGCAGGAGGGGTAGGACGAGGCCGGGGCAGACAGCGCGCTGGAGGTACGCCAGAGTCGGGCGGGGCGGGGCGGGGCGGAGCGGGGCGGTGGGGCAGGGCCGGAAGTGAGGCCAGCGGAGCCCGGCGTCGCGGCTCGCGCTCATTGGGCGGGAGCAGCGCGGTGGGCGGGAAGGCGCTCGGCGGTCTGCTCTTGGTTGCTAGCTGGGTGCTGCTGCTTTCAGTGCCTTTGCTGTTAGCCTCTTGGAACTTCGAGCCCAGCTGCTCGCACAGGACTCGGCCACCTGCCCTTCCTGCACCGCCTGGCCAGGTAGGTGGCGGTAGGGGCGGGGGGCTGCAGGTTCCTGGGGAGGATAATGAGAGAACCGAGGGCCCCGAACTGGCCGCAGGTGGTGGGGAGGGAGTTTCGTGAACCTGGACGCCTCTGTTCCTTGAAAGGGCTCGCTCCCTCCTCCGGGAGCCCCGAAGGCTCGGGGTCAACCACCCGGGCCCCCGACCCCGGTAGCCGACTCAAGGCCTGCCACTACCAGGTACCTTGCAGGAGTTCAGAGCCTCATGCTGAGCCAGGAGGAGCTCCGGGGGACGCACAGGGCAGGATCGGAATTGAGAGGCTGAAAAAGTGAGTGTAACAGTAGAGAAAGCAGGACCTGTCCCGCAGTCTGCTGTTCTGGGTTTTCTTTCCCACTTCCCTGCTTCAGTCATTGCCAGCTGTCTGGTATTCTCCTTGTCTCCTAAAGTTTTGCCCTAGCCTGGTTCTGGTTCCCTTGAGTTTGGAGCAGGAGGTGGAATGTGGGGGGTCCTGGGTGAACTTGAACTATTCCTTCTCTAGGTTTCACTTACTCGTCTGCTTGGGGGTAGGGGGTTCTCCGGATGACCTCTGCAGCCCCTCACTGTCTGTAACTGAGCATCTCTCCCCTGGGGCAGATCTCCTGGTAGTTCAGTAGCCAACTCTGATCTCAGGTAGCCTGTGCTCATTTAGGAAGAGTCAGAAGACAGAGCACTGGACTTACAGCCAAACAGACTCTTGGTTCGGCCTGGAAATAGCTGTGTGACTTTGGGCAGTCACCTCATTTTTCTGTGCCTTGATTTCACATTGGTAACATTGGGGAGTTGTAATCTGAGTGTGAGAGCTCTCCTGACCACTTTATGTAATCTTGCACCTGACTGACACCCTCTCATCCTTCTGTGATTGTTTTACAAATGTATTGATTGTTTTTTATCCCTACTAGAGACCTAAGTACCATGAGTGCAGAGATTTTTGCTTGTCTTATTTATTGCTGTATTCCTGGTTCTAGAACAGTGCCTAGAATGTGGTAGGTACTGTCAACCTAAATAACAGAGTGAGAGACTCTAAAAAAAAGATGTTTACTTGGGAATAGACATTGTAGTGAGAATATGTGTGCCATAGTAACCTCTGTACGTATTTGGTAAGGTTTTGAAAGGAAAAATGAGGATTGCATAATTATTTTGAGATAGTTATCCTTGGCTACCAGGATGAATAGTAAGAGTGGTGCCAGTCTGAGGTTGGACAGGCAGTTGCAGGGCAGATGTCCTCACAGAAATATTTTTCTGTGTAAGTCTGCAATGGTCTCTGTGCAGGGTTGTGGTTTTTGCATTTTTTCTGATCTTGTTATCAGTCATTTGTGCATGAGAACCCTCTTTTCATGACCTTCCTTGGTTTTGTCAGAGTTGTTCTTGTTTTTTTCCCATTGGAGAATCATGCTTTAAATTTGTCAGAGTTTTTAACACAAACGACTCTGTTTTGATTCTAACAGCTTTCATATTTCCCCCTTTTGGTCAAGATCTTTCTCCAAAAGACTTATGATCGGTCATCCTGTAGTTAGGTCCCCCAGTGCTGGGATGGACCTATCTTGGGTTGTTGGTCTCTTGCCACGTTGAAGGGAATTATTGGTGACTAGGAGTCAGTATCAAAACCCTTGTAGTGGCTGGGAGCAGTGATTCACCCCTGTAATCCCAGCACTTTGGGAGGCCAAGGAGGGAGTATCACTTGAGTCCAGAAGGTCGAGACCAGCCTGGGGGGGCAACATGCAAAATCCTATCTCTACAAAAAAATACAAAAATTATCGGGGCAGGGCTGGCATGGTGGGCTCATGGCCTGTAATCCCAGCACTTTGGGAGGCCGAGGGCGGGCAGATCATGAGTCAGGAGATCGAGGACCATCCTGGCCAACATGGTGACCCTGTCTCAACTAAAAATACAAAAAATTAAGCCAGGCGGTTGGGTGGCAGGCGCCTATAGTCCCAGCTACTTGGGAGGCTGAGGCAGGAGAATGGTGTGAGCCGGGAAGTGAGCTTGCAGTGAGCCAAGATCGATGCCACTGCATTCCAAGCCTGGGTGGACAGAGTAAGACTCCGTCTCAAAAAAATTAATTAATTAATTAATTAAATTTAATACAAAAAATTAGCTGGGCATAGTGCGACACATGCCTGTAATCCCAGCTACTAGGGAGGTTGAGGGCCAGGAGAATTGTGTTGAACCCGGGTAGGGCGGAGGTGTGGTGAGCTGAGTCATGCCATTGCCACCCTCCAGCCTACCGGCGCAACAAGAGGGCAAAACTCAGTCTCAAAAAAAAAAAAAAATTATCCAGGCATTGGTTGGGGAGTGTGTGGGGGAGAGTTGGATAGAGAATCACTTAAGCCCGGGAGTCTGAGGTTATAGTGAGCTGTGATTATACCACTGCACTCCAACGTGGGTGACAGAGCAAGACCCTGTCTCAAAAAACCCCAAATACCTTTTAGCCACATTTGAGCAGCAAGGGAGGTTTGGAAGGAGTGGCTCTCAAGATAAGTCTACCTGGAGTTCATTATTAAGTTCAATTTTGGCTGTTCCATAGGCATTTGCTATCATTGCAAACTTCTGGGTCAGCATTATTCTGTTAGGAGTGGTACTTCACCAAAAATTTAAAAAGTAACAGGTATTCCCCTGGGGCAGATCTCCTGGTAGTTCAGTAGCGGCATGATGGCTCACCCCTGTAATCCCGGCACTTTGGGAGGCCAAGGCAGACAGATTGCTTGAACCCAGGAGTTCGAGACCAGCCTAGACAACATCACGAAACCCCGTCTCTACAAAAAATACAAAAATTAGCCAGACGTGGTGGTGCGCAACTGTAATCCCAGCTACTCGGGAGGCTGAGGCAGGAGAATCACTTGAACCTGGGAGGCAGAGGTTACAGTGAGCCAAGATGGTGCCGCTGCACTCCAACCTGGGCTACAGAATGAGACTCTGTCTCCAAAAATAATATAAAATAAATAAATAGGAAAATAGGAAGTAATATTAATAGCAATATGATAATCTCAGTTTGCATTATAGTTCTAAGAGGCCCAGCATGGTGGCTCATGCCTGTAGTCCCTGCACTTAGGGAGGTCAAGGTGGGTGGATTGCTTGCACCCAGGAGTTCAAGACCAGCCTGGGCAATTTGGCAAAACCTCGTCTCTACAAAAACAAGTACAAAAATTCTCCAGGCACAGTGGCATGAGCCTATAGTCCCAGGCTACTGGGGAGGCTGAGGCAGGAGGATTGCTTGAGCCTCAGAAGTCGAGGCTGCAGTGAGCCAAGGTGGCACCACTGCATTTCAGCCTGGGCAACAGAGTGAGACCCTGTCTCAAAAAAAAAATAAATAAATAAATAAAAATAAAAATAAAAAAAAATTCTGAGACATGAAGCTAGGCTTAAAGACAACCAATTGAATAAGTCAAATGCCCGTTGGGAATTAGATGAGACCTATTGTAACCATGAGGCCTGCTTTATTTTTTGTATTTGGGTCTCAGCTTCCCAGAGGAATGTATCCAGGTACAGTATGTAGTATTAGCAATAGCACCAACATTTGTGAATAGATAATATAGCTCAGTTTTTACCACCTACTATGCCATAACTGGGTTGAGTTAAAACAGAGAGTGAGCAACAGTTTTTTAGGGTTTTGTTGTTTGTTGTGATCAACAGTTCTGTTAGGGATGTTGCCAAAGTCATCCACGAAGTGGCCTAAAGGATCTCTTGAGTCAGATTCTGTCAAGTTACCAGCAGAAGCTACTGATTGTGAAATTTCAATTACACCATTATCCTGCCAAGTGAAAAAAAGGAGACATTAAAACGGGTAAGAGTTGGCCGGGTGCGGTGGCTCACGCCTATAGTCCTAGCACTTTGGGAGACCAAGATGGGTGGGTCACGAGGTCAGGAGATCGAGACCATCCTGGCTAACATGGTGAAACCACGTCTCTACTAAAAATACAAAAAAAATTAACCCGGGCGTGGTGGCGGGCGCCTGTAGTCCTAGCTACTTGGGAGGCTGAGGCAGGACAATGGCGTGAACCCGGGAGGCGGAGCTTGCAGTGAGCCAAGATTGTGCCACTGCGCTGCAGCCTGGGCAACAGAGCGAGACTCCTTCTCAAAAACAAATGAAAACAAACCAAAAACAGGTAAGAGTCTCAAAATGATATGGAATCTTGTTCCAGTGTCTTCGGAAAAGCTATCTACAGTATGAAACCATCAACTTCTTATCCTGGTTTGCAATTTGAATGTCTCTGGTTACGGCATTGAGAGGTTTGGTGAACTTTCTGTGTGACCCATACATTAGGCACAAGGCTTGTCCATTAAAGTTCATCTAGTGTCAACTTACAGGGCTTCAGGAACAGAGCAGTGCCCATTTTTAATAATTTCATGGAAGAAAGTTGGATTGGAGGAATCTAGAATTCAGGAGCTAATCCAGTATACAAGTAGGTAATGAGAACTCAAAAGCAATGCACAGGGCTACAGTCTAGTAACAGGTGTACTATATCTTTTTTTAGAAACAAAATTTTCTCTTTACAGTGATCACATAGGAGTACCAGGTTTAAAAACCGTTTGAGGCTAGGAAGGAAAACCAAGGCAGACTTTAGATTTTACTGCACAGTCATAAGGTTCCTGGGCCTGCCAGGAAGTGACAGATTTTACTCATTCACTGTAAGGCTAGGAATCTTTGAAGGCAGGCTTTCTATGCACATTTTCAAGTATGATATTCTAGTTAAAGCTGTGGTAATGTAAGCAGTATTTATTGTATTCTGTTATAATAGAGAGCAGGCTGGGTGCAGTGGCTCACGCCTGTAATCTCAGCACATTGGGAGGCCAGGCTGGGCAGATCGCTTGAGGCCAGGAGTTCGAGACCAGCCTAAGCTAACATGGTGAAACCCCATCTCTACTAAAAATACAAAAATTAGCCAGGCATAGTGGTGCTCGCCTGTGATCCCAGCTACTGGGAAGGCTGAGGTGCAAGAATCATTTGAACCCGGGAGGCAGAGGTTGCAAGTTCTGAGATCGTGCCACTGCACTCCAGCCTGGGCAACAGAGTGAGACTCTGTCTCAAAATAAAAAAAGAGAGAGAGCAAAGTCTTACTGGACTTTTGCAAATAACCACATTGCCATAAGAATACTCATGAATAGGCCAGCATGGTGGCTCATGCCTATAATCCTACCACTGTGGGAGGCCATGGAAGCCTGATCACTTGAACCCAGGAGTTCAAGATCAGCCTGGGAAACATGCCCCATCTCTACTAAAAAATACAAAAATTATCTGGGTGTAGTGGCGCATGCCTGTACTCCCAGACCCTTGGGAGACTGAGGCAGGAGAACTGATTGAGCCTGGGAGGTCAAGGCTACAGTGAGCCATGATTATACCACTGCACTCCAGAGGGGGGAGACCCTGTCTAAAAACAAAACAAAACAAAACAAAAAGAATACTTATGAATAGTTTTCAAATTTTAGATGGATTAAATTGGGAGAAAAAGTAAATGTTTCCACCTCTCTTTACAAAAGTGTTTCTTAAGGAATTGCTGTAAACTATGGATAGCTTAAGAGAAAAAGTTTCCTTAAATTTAGAAAACAAGGCCAATAAGGATATGGTCATTAAAAACATTACCCTGGCAGGGTGGCTCATGCCTGTAATCTCAGCACTTTGGGGAGGCCAAGGCAGGAGATTGTTGAGCTCGAGGAGTTTGAGACCAGCCTAGGTAGTATAGCAAGATCCTACCTCTACAAAAAAATTTAAAAGATTATAATAGCTGGGCATGGTGACATGTGCTTGTAGTCTCAGCTACACAGGATTGTGAGGTAGGAGGCTTGCTTAAGCCCAAGAGGTTGAGGCTGCAGTGAGCCTGGATGACAGAGCGAGACCTCCTCTCAAAAAAAAAAAAAAAAGAAAAGAAAATTATCTTCATCAGTTTTTAATTGAGTTCTGTTTTGATTTTGACTAGATTTCAGGAATTCATCAGTTTCTTCCATTAGAGTTCTGAAAAATTTTTATTGTTTCATTGATCTTAAAGTTTTTAACTTTTTAGAAACTTGTATTAAGATTACTTGTTACAGTCTTTTCATGAATCTGATTGCAAATGGCTTTTAGAGAAGAATCAGAACCATGGATGACAAAGACTTGGAACAACCATGTTGAAAACTCTTTTTTTAGACTACTAATTTTTTTTTTTTTTTTGAGCACGGAGCCCTCACTCTGTTGCCCAGGCTGGATGGAGTGCCAGTCGTGTGATCTCAGCTCACTGCAACGTCGCCTCCTGGGTACGAGCATTAATTTTCCGCCCTGCC